TGGGGGGGGGGGAAGGACAGGGCTGCAGGGCAGTGGGGAAGGGCAGGGGTTGGGCACAGGGTAGGGGGGTCATGCCATCCAGCTAATTTTCCTCCCGGACAGGCCGGATCTTCATCTCGGTGAACTTGAGGGAGTATTGCCAGCCGGTCCAGGAAGACCACTCGATGCCATCGGCGTAGGAGCTGTGGTGGCCCTTGAGGTACTGCCCGTTGAGGTTGGAGGTGTGGCAGTTGCGGTACCACCAGGCGCCGTGGTAGAAAGCCGCGCAGTTGTTCTCCGAGTGGTCATTGTCCAGGTCCTTGGTGGTGAACTTCATCCCGTTGTGCTTCAGGAAGGAGTCACCTGCCGTGAAAGAAATGCCACGATGGGCCCTTCCTACACCTCACCCTGCTCTTAGGCTGTCTCCCACAATGGGGGGCTCACTTGGGCACCCCGATGGGGCTCCTTCAGCGATGCCCTTGGGGTCACCCACTTCCCAAATGCCCAACGCCCAGCTCTCTGTGGATACAGGGACACAACCAGCACCTCCACCACTGCTGGAGGAGACATCTCCCACCCCACCAAGGGGGTTTGGTGGCTGTGGGCTCCCCCTGCCCCCATGGGTCTGTGTGTGTCCCCACATCCCACCACCCTACCTGCTGTCCCCGAATAGTCGGCGATGGAGACGGGGTACCCGTCCTCCTCGGGGTCAACAGAGAAGAGCCCCACGCCGAAGCTGCCGTAGCGGGCGAAGGCGGTGCCGTTGTCGAAGTCCTCCAGGTCGATGCGGAGCTCGTAGCTGCCCTGCACCGTCAGCACGTGGATCCGCTTCAGCCCTGAGCAGAGGGACAGGTGAGTGTGGGACCCCATGGGGAACAAGGTGGCCGGGGCTCCCTGGGGATGGGGTGCAGGGTGGGATGGGCATTGGTTCCCACCTCTGGTCCTCGCTCAGTTATTGCAGCGTGGACGAGGGCAGGTGCTCAGCTTGTGAGTGAACAGCCCTGTCGCCTCCCTGTGGAGCCCCCTCCCCACCTGCCCAGGCTGGCACTCCTCCGGGAG